TTGCTAACAAACTAATCTACAGTTCACCATTGTAACTGCACTATAAGCCAAACATACCAATAACAGTTTAAAGTGTATTAGCGCTGCGATTTTCAATCTCCTGGGTGTTTCACAAGTACTCTTGTTTCAGAACTACAACTATTGGTTACTTGAATAATGCTATATGTAAATCAAGCTCTGTAAACTCATTTAGGATAAACCACCAGCAGGATGAAGATACACACATTATCTGACCAGCTCCGCCTGCAATCTCATCTCCTGTAAATCATATTTATATACAACCCATTTGCTAAAGCAAATCTGTCTCAAAGGAAATGTAATGCTGACCAGAGTCACTATTGCAAACATAATTGTTATGATTAGTGGTATAACTGGACTCAGTTTACAGAAACAAGAGCTGAGTGTATCAACTAAGTATTTAATGACAATGAATGTGCTGGACAGAAATGTGCAAAGCGCTGACTGATAACAAATGAAACCAAACCACAGCTGGGGAAGGAACATGGGGGAATCCAGGGTCCAGGTGAAGAATAGCAGAGTCAATCCAGAGGGATCCAGGGGATTTCCAGAGAGTCAAGCTGGATATTGTGGCTACGGATCTGGCTGTGGTTGGCAGGTTCTCAGTGTGGGGAGGAAAAAAAACAACAAACCAGAATTAGTCCTGAGATTTCTGTGCCCACTGCCACCTCCAAGCAACTCCACCCCCCAGGAGGTAAAGCTTGTACTTCCTACATTTTAAAAATTGTATGTAAAAGCAGAATTTATAGTTGTCACAACAACAATATTTCGTAATATTTAAATTTGAGTTCAAGGAGAGAGGAATAACATCATTATATGTATCATATGGTATGAGTGTTGCATGAGGATAGACATGAAATGAAAAACTCCATTAGATCACAGTGGCATTTTGCTCAAAGGTTTCCAGTATAAATATATTCAGAAGGAGAGAATATTTGTATAAATGCATTATTTGTGCTGTGTTGAATTTGTATTTGCACTTGACAACAGCCTCAGTCTTTCTGTCAGAGCTCCCTGGGCGTCCTGTGCAGTGTTCAGCTGTGGTGATGTGTGGAGCATCTGTCCTGTTAAATGTCCGTCTGTTCCTGTCTGTGCTGCCACTCCCCACCGCTGCTCCTCTCTGCTCATGCAATTTGTGTTTGGCATATGCTCCCATGTTGCTCCTCTCCTCGCCATTATATGTAATGGTACAAAGACAAAGCTCACCCAACATCCATATTTAAGATTCTGAATATATGATAGTGGATTTAGAGGTGGCATGATTACTGTGGACGGATGCAAGTGTCGGTACACAGACATGGATTTATTGTGGTGGGACATGTGGTGCAAATTTCAACTAGCATCCAGAGACGGAGGTGTCTAAGGACAGTAGCAAGCATCGACACAGGCACGAGATTCTTGCTTCTGAAGCGAGAGGAGGTGTTTGAATAATGAGTGACACTGCTTCAGATGTAGATGTCAGACGTCAGGACCGCCAGCAACTCAGGGCTTGAGTATTGGTTCTGTGAATAGGCGAAGGGACATCAAAACAAATGGTGAGAAAGAGAACTCCACCAGCTGTAGTGGAACTGCTCTGTGGTTGTGCTGGTGTTGTGGTTGCACTGGGCGGCTCCCAGTAGTGACTGTGTGTTACTGTGCAAATGTTGTCAGGGTAATTTGTGCTGGGCTAAGCTAAGCAGCTGCTGTCCACACGGAATATAAAGACGGACAACACGTCTTCACTTCCGCCCATTGTATAAAAATATATATAATAAAGTATTATGGGCACTGCCATCTTTCACGTTGTGCACTGTACTGATGGTGGAGAGGTACCACCCACCATCTTTGGAAAGATTTTGATGTGAACTTTCAGTTTTTAATTTGGTCACTGTCCCATCTGCAATCATGGAGGAGGTTGGGTTGACCTATACATCAGCTAGCCACCATGGGGCGATCCAAATGTTTTGGCTCCATTTTCGGGAGCCGTCGTGTTGTCCATCTTGATATTGTCTATCAATTAAGTCAGTGAAGTGGAAATAATAGTTTAAGTGTTTTTTGTATTGTGCTGATATCCAGTTTAGCAAATCCCAGCTTAGAAATGAAATATTATAATTATGTTTTCATGATAATTGTGGAGGATGAGCGATTCCTGCTGCTCTCTGCAGACATTCAGCTGATGGGAAAAAAGGGCAAAGGACCAGACCCTGTACACAAAAAATGACAAAAAGCCTCTGTCACAAAGACGTCTTAAAAATAACCCAGACTTTCAGAATTACAGTCACAGGCCAGAGTGTTACGCAGACAGAGAGGGGACTGTGCTTGTTTCACAAACTGACAGCTTGAAGATTGAGAGAAAAACGAGAGGATCCTCCATCATCACAGACACGGACAGCACTGACTGGCCGAGATCCAAAGATGTCATTAAAGGCTCGATAACCACATACATCAGTGTGACTGTGGACAGGACAGCTTGCCACAGTCTGTAGCTTTCCTCGCCGTGAGGATCAGACAGTGGGAGGGTGTGAAGGTCACTCTGGTGTCAGCGAGGCAGATGTCTCTGTGGACACGACGTCCCTGGAGAGATCCCAGTTTGTGGTTAAATGAGCTGCAGCAGTTGGAGCAGAGCAGGGTTCAACTGCACGACACAGAGCAGCACAGAGCTGAGACAAATTTCAACACCAGGCGGAAGCAAACACTAGGCTTCCTCTGTGACCTTTCAAAACAAAACTCATGTGTGTTAGAGTTAATAAACAGGGGAGTACATTTTTCATGAAGAGAAAAACAAATGACAGTCCAACTAAAATAGGTGTACTTTTTGGTTGTAGCAACACCCGGACCACACTGGATATGTGAGCGTTGCATGTGCATCGCAGAACGTCTTGTTTTTCATTTCCACAGTCATCTTATCAAGATAGAGCAGCCACACTGCCTGCACTCGTCTACTGTCCTCACGTACCACACGCGGTTCACAGCAAAACAGGCTATGAAAATGATCTTTTAGCACAGTTTCAATGTGCATAGTGATCCTTGGTTTGCTGTTGTACTCATGGAGTTTCTGTTGATCCGTAGCTGGGTAGGTAGTAGGATTGTAAAAATAAACATTTCTGATTCATAGTGAATGGGTTTGGGTGGGTAAAAGAGGCCAGTTGGACGGTCATCAGAGGACAATTTGCTTTCTTTTATGGAAAACAAAGCTGCTCATTCCCACGGCTGCAGCACTTTGCAAAGAGGATTTTCTGCATTCATACAACAAGCGCTGCGGGGGGGCACCATTGAGGTGAGGTGGAGTCGCCTACATCCTGGCACAGAGGATGCTTTTATTTTTGGAATGTTCAGGCAGGTGCGGGACTCAAAATTGGAGACATAATTCCTTGTGATGGGTGGATGAGTCAAGCTTACATGCGGATTCAAAAGATGCCAGAGCCAATCTGTGTATCTGTATCAGTCAAGTGTGTCACTTACATAAATACTTGCAGCACATCCTGTTCCTGTTTTAAAAGTAAAAGCACTCTAGCGTTTCTGTCAACTTAATCCATTTATTTGTTTTAAAAAGGTTTTGATTGTTATTGCACAACCAAAAAATGCACGGCTCACAGTGCAGAGTGCAGAGACCTATTTTTATTTGATGAATACTAAATGGTCTGTGTTTACATAGAGCTTTTCTAGTCTTGATGACCACTTAAAGGGGTTTACAGTACAGTTTATGCCATTCATACACATTTCACATTCATAAAGTGCATCTAGGTGCAGCACTTTCTCTATGAGAAGCAATTTGGGGTTCAGTATCTGGCCCAAGGACACTTGGGCATGCAGAATGGGGAGAAGAGTGGATTGTGGTTTGAAATGTGTGAAATTGAAGCAGTTTGGCAGGATTACTTTATCGTATAATTTTCCAGGTTATGACTGTAACAGAAGCTCCACATGTCTGCTGTCAACCCTGCATGGAGATCCTGAGGAAGCAGAGAGGGAGTGGCTCAGATCTGGTGTGAGAATGTTCTGCTTTGGCTCAGATGTGTTCTCCAGCTGGGCTCACTGTCAGGCTCCAGCTCAGGCATAAGTCTGTGCCCAGTGGTGAAGCCAAACTGGCCTGCATGCCTTCTGAGTTCACACCCAACAATTTGGTCACCCGCAATATGTGTTAATGAAAAACACTGCTGTCTGAGGTGTAAGATTTCAAATGACAGGCCTCCCCCACAGGGAATGGTGATGCTTTTATAACACAGAAAATATCAAACAACATGCTCTGCTCTGGTATGAGACTGTTATTCTCTACTTCAACAGCTGCATCTCTAATGAACTCCTCGCATCTGGAATACCTTGATAACTGAAACACAAAACTTCACCAAATATAAGGCCTGGCTCCTGTAAAGTAAGATATAAGCAGTATTAATGTAGTTTTGTTTTGCTTATTAATTAATGTATTTATAAAAAAAGAACAATGTACATCCATCAACATTCAGAGACTATTTGCCTGATGTCTTCCATCCAAAAATAATATGTACAATCTTGGCCTCATATTATTTTGCATTGTAATGATAATCCATCAGTGGTTTGCTTCCAACTAATGATAACATTACCTACATCATTAAAATGCCCAATACCCAATCTGCTCCCCGGGCGCTGGCAACAGCAGCCCACATCTCCAGTATATGTGTGTACATGGCATCTGTCAATGTGTGTTTCTATGCATGTTTAAACAGGTGCCAACTGGATGGGTTAAATGTGGAGAACAATTTCATGTATGCATGTAAAAGTGTTAACATAAAAGTAAATCTTCTTCTTCTAAAATAACATAAACATGCGTACATATATGTATTTATTTATTTGTAATGTGTATATGTAATAATTATAAAGAGTATAAATAATAGTGGTAATTTATTGTAAAAAATCTCTATAATTTACACTATTTTTACCAACCCACTTGTTATTTTCTGGAGTGAAATTCAATCTTTACCCTGACAACTACAAATCCCAGAGATCCTTGCCAGAGCCCAATCTGGTCATATGACCAGGCAGCAGGAGCAGGTGGTTCCTGGTCACATGATGTTGTTAGCCGAGGCTGAGGAGCAGCATCATCTGAGGTGAATCCCAGCCCATATCTCTCCCTGCGTTGAAAGGTAAAAGCTGGAGGAATCCCTCCTTTTCACCCGGCGCTTTTCTGCCTTTAGTGACAGATGAGACCGTCTCACACAGACAGAGAGAGAGGGGGAGGAGGATGAAGAGGAGAGAGGGGGGAGGCAGGGATCAGGGGGATGCAGGAGGCCATTAGTGATTCCTCTCCGTTGCTCTCTGTAGACAACAAGGAAGCACATTTGTTTGCACCGTGTCACTGTGTGTGTAAAAGCCTGAGGCTGCGTGTGGGCATTGTGAGTGTTTGGGTCGGCTTCATGTTATTGGACATTTCTGTAGAGATGTGATGGAGAGGAGGGATGGATGTGAGTGTGTCACCAGTAGTGCTGTTGTGTTATGGATGGATCCCTCTTTTTTATTTCCCCTCTTCCTGCTATGTTCCTCTGATTCATTCAAACAGTACAGTACAGTGGGGGTAGGAAGGGATTTTACTGAACGCCCATATGTGCATGCGATGGGCGTTTATTAAATAAAGTTAAATAATAAAATTACACCAAATTATATTAAAAAAGTTGGTGTAAAATTAAATGAGCTTAGGTGTCAAAAGATTAAAATGATGGCAGCCATTATCTCAGCAGGAAATAACATGTGTCTTCTTAACTACTGCAAATGTCAAGTAATTGTAGTCATACATGTATAGTTGTAACATCATCATAGTTATAGTTCACATATAGTTCAAATATTTTGATAATGCGTGTTCAGTTTATCTTTATGGCAGTGTGATAACATACAGAAACCAATATAACACCATGCAATTTAACCAGAAAGTCAGCACTTCAAACTCAGTCATTTCATTACAAATCCAATGTGCTCCAGTACAAAGCCAGCAGAAAACAGAACCAATACTGAAATGAACTGAGATGATCAATAGTATAATTGACAAGAGAATCGGATAATGTCCACTCAGTAGCTGATCCTATCGCATGGTCTCCATTAGCACATGGATTTTACCCAGTTGATATGTGACTTTGTCACAGTAGGCATGAAAGTTTGCTCTTATGGCCTTTCCAAGAACTACATGAACATTAGATAATACAAATAATCCTGTCAGTATGCCCTGAACTGATCATAATTATCAAACATTCATTCATTTTCAAGATTTTAACCATTTTGCTATCAGTTTGCTAACATTATGATTATTATGTTATGTGTTTTAAAAAGGATACAAATACTTGTTCCTTATACAAATGCTTTGTGGATTAAAACAAAAAAATAAAAACAAGGTTTTATCTGATGGAATATAATTTATAAAAACAATACAATTTTGAAGCCAGAACCCCGGAATGAAGGATGAAATATAATATGAAGTGATATCAGTGGGGCCAGTAATTATTGCTTTAATGGTTTTCAATTAGGATATTTTTCCTTTAGGTGCTGAGTTGTTTACACAGATGTATTATTGAAGCTGAGGTTGTTTTTTCCAAAATTCAAAAACACTACACACTCTTGTCAAAATGTTTTCAAATGGTCAGGAAATACCAGTAAATAGTCACAGCCATGCTGGTGATGGTTGACATGATTATTCATCAGCTTTGTGAGTCAAGAGAAGCTCAGGATAGAACAAACATGGTCATTGTTGAGCCCAAGCATCAATGAATGAATGTCCTACTCAAGTGTGATGGCAACCAGAGTTTAAAGGTGCAGAGTTAAAGAAAAAAAACGATATAATTATATAATAATAACAATAGAAAGTATATTCTTAGAAAGAACCACAGAGGCCGGCTCCCTTGTGGGCTGCATAACTATGTCCTCAAAAGGAGGCTTCTGAATGGGGATACACCTAAAGTGTTATGAACCTTTTATGACCCCAAATCCTACTGACTATTATGGAGTATTTCTTGTTTTCATATCAGTCTGAATATATGATTTTTGAGCAGTAGTGAGATGTCCACAATGACACATTCATGTCATATTGTTATGAAATCTACAACCTCATTTGTGAATGTTGTTTACTTGTGGCTCCCATTCAGAGCTGCCTTCCACTGTTTGAAGCTGTCTGCCAAATGTATTTGTACAGTCCCGCTGGGTTGATAATTAGCTTTTGTTTGGGATTGTGTGATTTTTTTTTTTTTCCCAGCAGTGATGACAATAAGGACAATGACTGAGTCCTGGCCCATGTAGCAACGTAGAAATATCCCTGTGACAATAATGCAAATCAATCACTGTTTGTCTGTCCAACACCATAGGCACGATAGTTAGACATGTTTTAACCAGATTATCTTGAAATTTCATTTCATTTCAGATTACTTCCTGTTATTTTGGTGACACACTGCCAGTTCCTAGCGTCACATCATCTTGTACAACCTGTATACGTATAAAGAAGGTGAAAAGCAACAAATATATGCGCACTGTCTAAACCACAAACCCATCGAGTTCTAGGACTTTAAGGTCTTGATCATTGGTGTTTGTCTACACAAGTCATTCTTTCTTAATCAGTACAGCTCCTCTACACAGGCCATATAATGACACGTGTCTCACTATTGCACATAAATGACCTTATATGTACCCTTGCAATTCGTCGACTTACATTTTCTGTCATTTTCTGGGCATAACTGCAATGATTAGCTTGAAAGAAACTGAAAGTATAAAAAATGCAGTGCCAGACATGTAGTTCACACTGAAAAAGATGTCAAGAGTGCTTTTGGCGATGAGGGCCGATGCCAGTGTCGATGCTTTGTAAACAAACACACTTGATCTTGGCAGCAGAACTTATACATCACATCCTGCCTCCTGAAGCAGGAAGAAAGTTCGGGCCCAGTTCTGTGGACATCCTCCGCAGCTCATTTCTGAAAACGACTAATGTGCTGAGTGGCCCACACTCCCAACTCTGTGCCTGAATGTGTGGACAATGGAGAGTGGAGTGTAGCTGCTGCGCTAACCTGCTGCTTTCACTTAACAGCCTGTGTAAAAGGCACAAGTGAGGTTAAAATAGAATCCTCGATGGACATTTGGGTTAGTCCCACATCAGCAGTGATGCAGGAACAGATTGAGCTTCTGAAGTGGGAGCTAACCCGGAGGTTAAAATCTTTGAATTTACTAGTTGATACATCACAACCCTCACCTATGGTCATTAGTGTTGGCACTTGACCAAAAGACTGAGATTTAAAGTGGCTGAAATTAGTTTCCTTTGTGCTGAAAGGATGCGCTTCAGGTCTGATAAAGTTGCATTCTAAACACTTCCCTTTCGAGAGTTTGGTCACGTCCAACTGGAAGGAGAGCCAGGAAACACCGGAGGGATTATATATCCTAGCTGGCCTTGGAATGCCATGAGATCTCCCAGGATGAGGTGTCGGGTGTGGCTGGGAAGGAGGCCTGGTCTGTCTTATGTTAACCTGATGCCACAAAAATGCTGGATAAATTATAGCTGAATGACCATGGTCTAAACTTTTCATTCTTTTCCCTCCACTTTTTGCTCATAAGTCATTCAGAGCAGTGATCATATGTGCAAATTGGGATGTGTCATGTCTGCAATGAATTTGTAGTCCACGGAGATGTTGAGAAGCAGAAACTTTAGTGTAGCATAAATTGTTGCTCAGACACAAGACAGAATGTGTTTGCTGTTATTTGTTTCGGTTCTGTTTGGCCTGTCGAGGCTTCATACTGCTGCGTCACATATTGACAAAGAAAGGCTGTAATTGTTGTTTTTGAACAGTTGGTGGGTCATTCTGAGACGCTGGCTGTCTCTGTTATACATGAGTATTGTATAAGGTGCAACTTGTTTTTTAACCTGTGTCTCACAGGAGTTTGATCAATCAATCATCTTGCTGACGCACAAGTCTGTGGAATGAAGTTTAAAGTGCCTCTCTGGGTATTTGCAGGTAAATGCAAGCCTACAAAGAGAAGGGTGTTATGAGTAACCATGTAGGTCAAAGAGGCATACAACATGCACACCTTCAGAGCCTTTAAAATCTCAATAAAACATGGTGCTGTTGCTGCTTCATGCTATTTTTATTTGTTTTGTTTATATATATATTGGGGATGTCTGAGAAAGAGAGGGATCTGTATACTCTGGATTTATAGACATTTCTTTGTATTTTATACTTAAAGGTATATATTTTACATATAAAACTAACGATGAAAGTGTGTGTGTGGAGTATGTATGTGTGTGTGGGGGGGCAGAGATCTTTTTTCTGTGTGTGAGATTATTGTGGATGTTTTTACACAAGGCCCATCACAATGCAATGAATTGCCATGTGATTTCCTGAGCACAATTCATGCTTACTGGAGCATGAACCTATTTTGGACACTCCTTGAGCTTTCATCTAAGACCTCAGGCCAAATATCTACACTGCACAAAAAATGTGTCTTTGGCAGATTGCCATGGAAATTCCAGAGCAAATTCATCTTAGGTACAAGATAAACCCTTTTCATTATAATGATCCCATGGCCTTTCCTCTAGCACCAAGCACTTATTATGTTGTCTCTTGTGTACGACACTGTAATATTGTGGGGTTTAATAAACCCTGCAGCCCCTAGCAGGGCTTTTCACCCTTAGTCCTGTTATGACACAAACAATTCTGTTAAGAATGCAAACAGTTTATTTGAGTGCTATTCAGAAAATTATGGTGAAAATTAGTTTTGTAGCTCATATAATGGTTTAATTAAGTAACCTGTACACTGAATGGGAAAGGGAAAGGAATGTTTTTCTGGATTTAATGTTTGGATTCAGGAGGATACTTGGATACAAGAGGCGTTGCCATGAAACATAACAAGGCCGGGCTCGGCGATGTGCGAATAATGGCCGGACAGAGGTTTAGACAGCATTAGAATAATCAGTCCTGATGTGGACGGAGATGCATGACAATACAGGAGAGGTCTACTGATGGCTGATAGCACGCTTATTAAGATGCTGCTGGTGCATTGTTCTTAATCTTTGACAATGCAGAAACACTGTGTTTCAACCACAGGGTGGGACTTTAGTTCTAATATGCTTCTGCTCATGGTTTTATCCTATATGATGATTATCTTTCCTTCATCTTTACATAAT